CACAGTGTATTCATTAATTTTCATTTTCATGTAGTAAAGGCTCTATGCCTTCATAAAGGACGTACTTTTCCTTTGTTTAAGGGTATTTGGGCAGTTTATTCTCTGTTATATTCTCAAGTAAACAATACATACAAGTACAGTACAGTATTTTCTGAGGAAACACTCGTACTTATTTTTTTTAACCCCATTCCCGATAACCCGGCATTTTCACAAACTCGGCCACCCTTCGATCCACATTAGGCCGAGTTTTCGGGACTCTACTGTATTATGAAAAAATAAATCAACAACTAGTTTCTGAACTATCCCGGCAACATTTAAAATTTTGCTTGCGCCATCTGTTATCACATTTAATTAAAAAACTTTTTATATTTTTAACTATTATAAAATGGTAAAAAGCTTCATTTTAAGGGTAGGGATGAGTTTTAAAAAAAATTGTAAATGTTAATAACGAGTAAAATTGACCTTTACCGTTACTGGAAATACACATGACCCCCATTATCTCCCCTCTCCCTCGACCTTTAACCACCAAAATTTAATAGCATCAATTCTTCTAATAAACAAACCTCCCTTTTCGACAAAAAGTACAGAAGTTATTAAGCTTCAAAGAGGGTGAACAATATCGTGCCACACACAAACTAACATTTATACATTACAGAAATTATCTCCGAATTTTTTTGTATTTCTCGACGTTTCAAGTTGTCCTAAGTCCAAAAATGTAAAAATCTTCGGGCGTCATTTGTTGACTGACCTCCATACTTTCCCTCTGTTATATATAACAGCCGGAAAAGTAATTAGATTGGACTGGATTAATGGAACAAGACAGTTTTTCAACCATTTTCTAACAAAGGCACCTCAAATTTGGTAATTTTTTCTTACTTCTTTAAATACCTTTTACGTGTGTTTATAATACATATTAATTGTTTCAATCGTATACAGTGTTTTTAATAAAATGATTACAAAGGTATTAAATAGTTTTGCTTTAAATATCCTTTCCTTTTGTTGAAACTGTATCTTTATTTTTAGTGTCTGTTTTTATTTCAAAATAAACTGATGATTTAAAGAATATAATTAACATATCAGAGTATTTTTTAATAAAAAAAATAATCATCTTGTTAACATGAAGCAGTCGAGTCCTACTGTCTAATCTGCCATATCTTCACCTTGAACTACTTTTATTTATATTTAATTAGTAGATTTACAATTTTGAATGAAATAAATTATTATAAATGATTCACAAATAAATATCTATGAAAATATTTATAAGGATTTATAATATCTACATTTTAATTGGATATTAAATTGGATATTAAAATGAGCAATCATTTTAATATCCAATTTGTAGAAGCAGTAGCCAAATTGGAAATGTATTACCCAGTTGTATTACCCATCCATAACTCGTATGCAATTCATTATTGATTTTTAAATCATGCAATAAATACTGGCTACTTTTGAATATAATTAAGAAACAGACCAAAAGCGAGATGTTTTTTTTTTCAGTTTTAAGCGGACTGTCCCGCTTAATTCCGAACGTCTAGCCACTTCACTAATATGAGTTCAGACAAGAATATTTTAAAGGAAAAACATTGATTAAAATAAAAATAGTTATGCACAAAATTTACTTGTCAAATTTAGGAGATAAATCTAATTTGAAATATAAAAAAAGACCTAGATTTCTGGTATTTTCTTTATTACTGAAATCTATTATAGAATCAAGGATAACAGTATCATTTTTTTCCGTGATTAAATAGCTAGTCTGTTAATTTTTATTGTTTAAATGAAAAATTGTAATTTATTATAATAGAACGATATTTTTAAATATCGTTTAAATTTATTTTTAAATTTACTTCTAAAATTTGTAATGGTAACATTAAAATCTTGCAATATATAAAAATGTAAAGACATTTCTTGCCTAAATTGGTGTTGTTAATTATAGTTATTGAAAAACTGGACAAATATAGTTGACCTTGATTAGTTAATGTGAAGATGACATGATTTGATACTGAGCATCGCTATTTTTCATAGTTGGATGACTTAAGTTAATGTTTTAATTATAATTATGAACTTAAATAAAATTATGTTTGCAAATAAATAATTATATTGTTAAACCTTCCACTAAAAAGAAGTATGAATCCGTATTTTGCTTAAATTGGCACAAATTCTGAAGATGAAAATTTAATTTTATGTAAACAATTAGCAATAATTAGAACAAACAAAAGCTTGGTGTATAGAGAGGTGCCTTTTGTTTCTTAGCAGAATTCTTTTATCTTTTTTGAACGAATGAATTATTGTAGAATGTTTATTAATAAATAGCAATTTTAAATATTTTATTTATTTATAGAAAAATAACATCAATTTATAGTAGAAACCACTAAAGGCCCTAAGTTTTCTGGCTGGGAAAAAATCCTCATCTCATCTCTTCTTGACGACCCTGATAATAATTAAGTAGCATCTCAAGATAAAAGACGAACACATATAGGAATACCTACTGTATAGACTAGCAAAATGCAAGTGAGACTTTATAACACTAACAATTTAAATAACATTTTTAATTATATGACAACATAATTGTATAACATTTAATGTAAAACAATATAATTATAAAATGCTAACTAACAAACTTGATTTAAAAGTTTATGATTTAAGAAAAAAAAAGTCAAAAATTAGGACACCACTCTAACATTGATTTTTTTTTAAAGCCACAATTAGAGAAACAGGAATGACTTCTAGTTTTTATGCCTTCAGTAATCCTTTCATTTACATAATTTTTATGAAGGGGAGAAAAACTTCAATGTCATCGAATTTATTTTAATTCCAAGTCTAAATACACTGACACAATATTATGTAAATGGAAACTTTACTTGAAATATTTCAAAACAAGATTTTTTTTCTGTTTTTTTATATGACGAAGAATAATTCTTATTAAGTTAGTAATTCTTACAAAGAAATTGGCGTGGCTAGTTCGTCCTTTCTTTTCACACATTTCACGCACATTCCTAGGGCGACCAAATTTTGGTATGGCAAAATATCAAAGTATATTCTGCAGATACTATATATATTATTTTATATAAACTTTTATGCAATGCAACAACGGGAGGGTATACTTTACTTTTTTCTTATTTAAATATATTTATTTTAGGTTACTTAAGATTAAAGTTAAGGTACACAAATTTAAATAATGTCTAACGTGAAAAATAAGCTAGGAACGGTGTTAGATATTGATTAAAGCAAAATACATTTTTGTAATATTCAGCTAAACTGATTTAAAATCGGTAGAAAGAAACATTAACCTAAATGCATTAGGCTAATATTTATATTTATCTGTATAGGATTGTTCAATAAACTAAATTTGCCATCATAAATGTTTTTAAAATAATGTTTTGAAGTTCAAAGTCTTCAAATAAATAACTTTTGTTTTATTTCAATAGGGAGGGATTAACCCCTGTTACCTGTATCAACGTATTTTAATCCGCATATGTTAATAATCTCTCAATCAATTCTAAATTTTACTGAAATTACACATTATACCAACAAAAAACTAGATAAATTCGAAGATAATCTACAAGTTAAATATAATTCTTGAAAGATCATTTATTGAAGTTAATAACTGATAATTATCATAATGATATTTTGAAAATATTTTAACAAAGAATGATTAAAAACGAGCAACTATGTATTATGACATCGTCACAATACCGGGCTGTAATTTTTAATCAGATTTTTAATTTACTTAATTTAAAATATATGTTCTGCATCACAAATTAGTAGTGTCTTGCCCCTGTACTGTACATAATACTTTTCCTGTTAGCAACAGAGTTGTATCATTATTCTAACTCCTTACAGGGAAAATTTTTGAATTGAAATAACGTAATTTTCTGTGTGCATCGGAAGTTTATATTTAGTTAATCGAAGCCTCATTCCCCTAATATTTCCAAATCTGATCTCAGCTTTCATCTATCTAACTCTGTTCTCGAGATTAAGGAAAGACAGACAGACAGACAGATGGACAACAGTGGGAATTTATACGTTTACAATTTTTTTTCAAATTGTAACTCAAATTTTTAATAACTTACTTTTTGTAATTAAAATTAATTATATTCTACTTTTCTATCACTTTTATAGATACTTTGGATAATACATATGATGGAATTCGTTTAAAATGATATGTAGTTTATTTTGTATTTATTAAAAAAAAAACAATTACAGTATTGTATTTCTATTGATTGATTACTTAACGTAAGACACCAACATCATTTAATGTTGCCACAGTTACATTCAGTTCATGTAGACTTGACCCACAATAGGTTCAGCCAAGCACAGAAAAGTAATGGAAACGATGCCTTAACCCGTGATAAATTATGTGTGAATCGGTTTTGAACTTTTATCCTCATATCGCACAATCTTTTGGCCAACCATTTATTCCAAATTATTGAAAACGTTAGAAAGAAAATGTAAGAAGTTTCAATAAATTAATCAAGACGATATTTCTCTGGAAGTAACGAGATCTTTATAGCAGTAATATATCGAAAAATAGATAATTAAATGAGAATATTTAAAAATTATTCTATTTATACAGATTTAAATTTTACATATTATTGATAAATTTTTTGTTAATTACTGTAATCATGGACCCAAAATCTGTGGTCGGAACCCGAGTTGGGGCCCATGTAATTAATCAAAATATTTTATTGTAAAGTTAATTTATATACAGTATTACTTATCTTGATCAAGATTTCAGTTCAGTATTGTTTTTTTATTCTTTGTAAAAATATTGTATAATATATTTGAACACAGAGAATATAACACATGAAATATTTGAACTTTAGTAGGCCTACATGCTATTTTATTAATAACAATAAATGTAAAAAATATGAATTATTATTAATATGAAATTGCTTATTGTTATATAATGAATAAATTATCGCTAAGGTTCAGATTTCTGATAAATTTTCAGTAATGGTTTTCCTTATGTGGCAATTTATATATAATAAATAATTAGAAANTGTTAATATGATTATTGTTTTGACTATTAACTAATTTTACCTTTTCTTTATTGAAATTTGTTTATTTGTTTTCCATAAATTTAAATTAATATATTTTTTGAGTTTTATTTTCATTTTATTTTGAAAAAAATTATTTAAATTTTATGTTATAAATTAATGATAGCTTTAAATTTTTGTTTTAGATGTTTTTTATTTTTAATCAAGTTGATAATTAATAGTAAAAATATTTAATCATTTAAAAAATAATTATTTTTATTAATCTATAATTTTGTCTTTTCTGTTATAATTCTAATATTATTCTAATTGTTATAATCTATGATTATTATTTTCTGTAATTTTTTGGAGAGATCTTAATTGATATGTTCAAATCTCTTATTTTTATTTAAAGAAATTGATAATTTTAATGCCTTTTTTATCTACTTAATTTGATTTATTTTGTAAATTAATTTTGGTGGAATGTTTTTACCAATTGAAATATGAAATATTCTTATATAACCTGACAAATACTAGATTACAGAAGTGATCAGCTATTTTCTGTTGACATTTTATAAAAAATAACTGTGTTTCAAATAGGATGGATTCATTATTTTATTAATTTTTTAAAGTTAAACAAAAGTTGCTTACAGGATTTATAAAAATCAAAACATTAGATGAATATAATATCTTAATTAAACACTTAAACTATATCAAAGTTTGAACAAATAATATATTTGTGATGAAACAGCTATACATTTTTAAAATGTTAGCCATTTTTTATGTAAATCGCAATTGAAGATAATTGCAGCTTTAAGACCTCAAAAATAAAAATGATAGTTTTTCCAAATGATAACAAACATATGAGGTTGCAGATGTAAATACAAATCTGATTCCTTAGTATTTCTAACCAAGCCATTCTTAAAAATAATTCATAAACTAATTGTAGTAAATTTCAGACTTGCTAGATCATGGAGTTGGCCAAGTTGCAGACTAAATAGAATCCGTGCATTTCCAGTGAGTTAATTCCGATTTTCAAACTTAATTTTGACTTATAGAAGAATGCCCATTCATTAACATTAATAATTAAATATATAATGGACTGTAATCATGTCCGAATATGTATTTATACGTTAAAAGAAGCTTAGATTATATCAAGATTATACTAATACTTATCATTCTAGGCCTAATTATATTTCAATGGTCATTTATATATAATATATACAAAATATGTTTCATATGCAACCACATTAAATATTATATTATAATCATTCAACATGTTGAGACAGACAAACACCAGGTAGCAAGAGTCAACACATGTAAACTTTATCTCCTCTCAATACCACAGGTAACAGGATTTAGAGATGATGATGATTCAAATATGTTTTTTTAATCAATGATTCTTACATCAGATGTTAAATTGAAATTCTTATACACATTTCTTTCAAATTAGTGAGTTTTTTTCTTACACAATGCTTATCTGTAATCGTGCTATTCTCTGAGGTATTATGTTTTAACAGCTTGTCATTTAAGTATTGTTTTGTTTTAGTTTGATA